TAGGGACCAAAGGTCATATATATCATGTATTGCAACTATTCTCCTTAATTACTAATCTATTCACGGCAATTATTTTTTAGCAAAAATGTATGGAGGCCCAGCCTATGCAGAACACTATTCTGGATGTGAAGAGGACAGAACCAGATCCCGTCCCTGGGAACTCTCACCATAGGAGGAAGACCGATCCATAAATAATCTGAGGCCCTGAGCTGTCGGGAGGAATGAGAAGAATGCTGGGGTAAAAGGAGGAAAAGGAGGACTAAACCCAGGGAGGCAGGGAGACCCCTCCTCACTTGTGATTTTATTGGGGGTAACTGACATTTATTAAACACCCAGCAGGGAGAATATATGCCCTTGACACCAGGGGCAGAGCAGGAAGAGTCACTCAGAGTTACAAGAGGAAGCAGGAGGCCTGTCTATAGGAAGTCATCCTGGCAATCCAACGAACTGCTGTCATTCACATCCAGCTCCCAGTAGTCTGTACAAGCTGCTCACCAGCCCCTAAAAGTGCTCCCAAGTTGATTCCTCAGCTGGGCTATATGGCTTGCACATCACAACACTGTTTCAGGCCACCCACAGGAACTGAATCACTTCACATCGGTTGGAAAGATGGGTATATTACAGTAGAAAAGCAGAGAGAATGTTTTCATCACTCCATGTAGACAGTGAGATGCCAGCCTGCTGAGGGCTGTTGTAAGCAAGACCCTCCACAGAGGAAAAAAGATTTTAGAATGTGGACTACTGAGTGGCAGCTGCCATAGGCTTGGGCAGCCTTACAGGCAACGCTACAGCAGAAACGCTGCCTCACACATAGCCGAAGCCAAGGCCTACCCAGTCCACTGAGGGCTGCTGTACCTCTAGCGCCCTCAACAGCTACAGGACTCATAACAGGGTCTTCCCCCAAGCCCTGGGGTAAAACCTGAGGCTGTTTAATATGGCTCCAAAGGTCAAAATTAATAGCATGAACTAAGTCTTCTTCCTGCTCTTTGAAACTCCTTGTCAAGTGGCACAGCCAGCTGGGCACACAACTCTTGATATGCAGATCACGACGTTTGTGAACAGATAAAATGAATTACAAATGAGCTCAGCCTACCCTGTCTCAACTCTCTAATGGGCAGGAAGGGCTCTCTCTTTCTTTCCCAAACACTGTCCAAATGCCTCCTCTTAGAGTCCACTTGAGCCATTTAAGTGCCTCAAGAATCTGTATCACATCTCATTAGCAAATGACTCTGGAAGCCAACTCAAAGTTTCTAAAACTGTATTATCCTAAGGACAAGGTAGGACAGTAACTACGTAACAAAATAATGTTAGCCACAATATTAGCATATATTAGTTCATTTTCATCCCTACTAATCCAAAAGAAAAGTATTGCTATTTCCACTTTAAACATGAGGAAATTGAGGTCTGGGGAGGCTAAGTCATTTGCCCAGGTAAAGCCAAGATTCCTGCCTGGGTTTGCCTCACACTAATTCCAAGCTCTTAATCTCACACTGCCCATGCCAGTGGACTATGAAGAAAACAGTAAAAGCCATGAAGACTTTTCCTTCATTTATTAAGGAACCTGGATAATATCTGCATGCCAGGCTGGTATCTGCCATCCTTACTAGAACTGAAAATAAGATTTCTCAAAGGAAAAACAGCTTATTTACAAAGGAAATTGACCTACATGAAAAGAAGCCATCAAACAATGCTTTACTGTTTCAGAACTTAAAAATAAGAAAAAATAAATGGAAATGATGATATGGTCCCAAAACTGCCATGAGACCCTTAACAACCACAACTGGTGACTTGTGTATCATACAGTTGCAACTGACCCGTGTGTAGCAATTGATAAGCTCTAGTTATCATTTTCTATAGGTAATAATGGTAAGAAAAGCTTCACAATCAATAAATCTCTCTTTCTGGGAAAAAGCTGCCTGCAGCACCAGTCTCCTTATTACAAATGTGTGACTGTGTCATTGACAACAATACCACTGTCTCTACCGGAACACCAACCACACTATCTGCTGTTTGAGCAGCAGTGATTCTCAACACTGATACCAAGTGTTACTACTTTCACGGCAAATCCCAACACTAGCAACCAAGACCAACTACAAAACAGCTGGTTTACAAATGCCATCCATACACCCAGCCAACTATTCTACCATCCACACATCCCCCAACTCCCTGCCTCCCCATTTATGAAGAGCTGCATGCTGGGCACTGTGCTAGATGCCAACATTCTTCTTCACCCACAGCAGGTTTTCCAAGGCTCCAGAATTCCACCTCCCAAAGGAATGGTGCACACAACACCAAGGCACAGAGCTTGTGCCAACCAGGAAATGGGAGTCCCTAGTAAGCAAATTACAAAGCACCAGTCATAAAACCATATGCATTCAGGGCAACAGTTCTTCACCCTGGCTACACATTAATCACCTGTGGAGTTGAAAATAATGCCTTTGCCTGGGCCTCATCCCAGACCAATTAAATCAGAATCTCTGCAAGCAGGACCCAGCAGGGATACAGTTTTTAAAGCTTCTCAGGTGATTCCAAAGTGCAGCCAGGATTGAAGACCCCCAAAATATTTCTAGAGTGGTAGTTTTGAAATCCATAAATCTGTTAGATGGTACCAATACCCCAAACCCCACCCCCACCCCACCCCTCCGCATTCACTGTAGCTGACATCTGGGCTGCATTAAAATGATACATCAATAAAGTGTTCTTTTGAAATGACGGACCCATTATTTATTTGTTGACAGCAATGAAATACTGAACAAGAGAGTACTTTGAGGTCACTCATCACCCCCAGGGTCCCCAGGCCTATTCTGAGAACTAGAGGGGCGCGAAGCTCTGACCATGAGGAGGCGGCTGAGCTCAACCTCGCTTGGAGTGGTACTGGCAGTGTCCAGGCAAGAAGCAGCTATAGCTCCATAGCCTGACAGGAGGGAACCTTCACAGTTCAGGCATGATTATCAAACTCTTTGTGCTCTTAAAGGAGAGTAATTATAGGCATGTGAAAAAAGGGAAGCACTCCCCAAGGAACTCTTCCTCACATGCTTCCCAAGAGGCAGCAGGGCCATTAAAAATTCCATGATGAAGAGGAAAAACAGCCTGGGAACAGCCAGGAGGCAATACAGCAAATTAATACACCAGCCCTCCTCGGGGAGAGCTGTGATAAAACAGGAAACACTCCTCTCTTCGCAAAATAAAATTATACCACTAATGATAACATAGTCACCACACACACACACAAATCATTCTAATGATGGGTGTGAAATTCCCAATGCTGCCCAGATGCTTTGAAAGAAATCTTTCGCTACTACAAATAAAATGGGACAAGAAAAAGAAAATTTCCATTCGAAACAGCTTCCATCGAGCCGTTTGCCTGCCTCTGCCCTGTCACCATGCATGCTCCTTCACACTCCCTGCTTGGCATTGGGCGCTGGCAAAGCCTGCTGCCCAGTTCCGAATCAGTCTCATCAGTCTGCCAGCTGGGGCTAGATGGCTGCTTCCCACTGGCCTCTTGCTAGGCAGGAACCTCACACTTCAAAGCATGAGAGGCAGCCCTGAGAGCCCAGTGTTCCATCACTCACGACTCCTAAAACTGCAAGGTCACTCATGCTCATCATTCCCATGGAACAATGGGTGCTGAACTCTACTGACTGGAATGGCCCACTTCCACACCCGACTTTCCTGGGAGAATGGAAGCTCCTAGAGGACAGACCCTAAACAAAGAGCCAGGCACACAGCAGAGAGTCAGTGAACACTGAATGAATGAAGAATCAACAGCATGCCACTGAAGGAAAGGCCTTACAGCGGTAGTTTATGTCATTTCTTAGTTTTCCATAGTCTTCAGAACACATTTGTGATGGTATCTCTTTTCTTAAGACTTTCCCCCACAAAAGTACCACTTCTCTAGGAGAAAGATGTGGCAGTAGGTTAAGGTGCAAAATGTATTATTATAGCCCATGGTAGAAGTTCTGTCTTCATGAAAGTAACTTCTTTGAGCAGCCTGCACCCCAAAAGCTATGAACATATCCATTTAATAACTTCTTACAAAGAGAAAAAAAATCAGAACCTTGGAAGAAAATTCTTTGCACCACCAGAAGTAATACCAGTTCAATGATCCAGCCTATTAGCAGCTCTTTTCTGCATAACTGCCCTGCGGTGGGGATGCTACCATTAAAACCATACTTACTTCCCATGTCACCTAAGAGATTTCTATCTATAAGGAGTTATTCATTTGACACATATACATGAATGCCTAGCAAGTGCCAGAAACTGTGTTGGTGCAGAGAATTTATCAGAGAACATGGTCCCTGTACTTTGAAGTTTATAGTCTATTGAGAGAGCCTGGGGGAAAAAGTGGAAAAAAAACCCTAAACACACTGAAATAAACTAAGAAGCAAATGCACTACAGACTGTGATGAAGCTATAAAGGAAACACACAAGTAGAGAGCAGAAAGTGGCCCTTGAGACAGGGTGGTCTGCGTGGTCTCCACTGAGGAGGTGGCCCCTGAGCTGAGACAAGCAGCAGCTCAAAGATGGTCTTCCCGACAAAGGGAACAGCACACAGGTTCCAAGCCAGGAAAGGATTGCTATTTTTGAAGAACAAAACAGAGCTCCCTGGTACAGCTACTCTCTCCCCCATAGAGGGGAGAAACTATATAAAAGGAGCTTGACACACAGGGAGGCCAGATTATGCAGGGTTTTTCAGGTTGTGGCAAGGAACATTAATAATGTTCTTTGAAGATGGGGCTCTTAGCAGCAGAAATAATATGAAGTATGAGCTAGAAGACTTAGGTCAAAGTTGAAACTTAATCACATACTAGCCACGTGACCACAGGAAAGACACTTTACCACCCTGCCTCAGTTTCTGCATCTGTAAAACACGTATTTGCTTCAGAAAACTGCCATAAGGATCAAATCAGATACTAGACACAAACATGCATTTTAACCCGAAGTCAAATAAAAAGGGATGGTGCTGTCCAGAAGAAATACACGCCGCTGACGACCATTACCTGGCTGAGCAGTGCACTGGTGAGCATCGCCGGTGAGACGCGTCAGTAAGAACATCCAGGGAATACAGGGGAGAGAGGGGATTCAGCTGCAGGGGCAAAGGTGATGATGTTAGTAAGGTCTGTATGAAAGAGATCTGACCCAAACGGACACCCTATCCTCTGATTACTTGTCCCCTTTGGCTGTCCAACTCTTTGTCATACCAAACACAGACGCAAGTCAGTGAAATCATGCATATTGAACAATGTGCCCAGAATGTCCCACACCTGATCTAACACACCATAAAAGCACTATTTCTTGTTAAAAAACAATCTGTCAAAAACCTCTGACTCATAATACTCACCTAAGTGGTAAAAGACAGTACTTTCCAAGTGACAGAAGAGGAATGAACTTATGCCTATTGATTATCAACTGCATATCAGCCCTTGTTCCCAAGAAGATGAACATGAAATTACCTTCTCATTTCCTTACCCTGGCAAATGTTTTCAAGAATAACTAGTTAGCACATACCAGCAGCATAGCATAGTAGAGAGAAAACTAGGCTAAGAATAAGAATACCTGTTAGTCCCAATCTACCACTGAGTTGCTGTGTATTGAATATGATACATCTCTTTGAGCTTGACTATCCTTATCTGCGAAATAGATCTATCACTACCTGTCTTACTGACTTTACAGGGTTACTGTGAGGGCTAAATAAAATATTGCTTTTGGATCATAAAATAAGTTCAGTTTCTCACCTGGAAAACATCTACTGATGTCAAAAGGTGGCTGTGAGGATTGGACAGAATACCTCAATTTATGTTGCTAGCATTTTTTGTTTTTTTCACAATAAACAGTCCTCCCCCACAAGTTAAGAACTTGGAAGAGCTCTGATAACTTCAAAAGTGCTTTAAAAGCAACTGTTCTGTCTGCCGCAGAGGCTCCAGTCCCGGGCCTGCCAGCTGCATGATCCTGGACCAAGAGTATGACTCTTCTGGGTCACCAGTTCATCACTTGCAAACAACATATCCGGTGATGGCCACAGGTCCCCTTCTACCTTTGGGCCCTCTGATGCTAATGTGATGAGTGCCACACTGCCACCTCTCACATGCCACCTTCATGACTTTTTCCTTATCTGTCTACTACCTGCACTACTGTTTACTCATTTCTCTTTATATTGATATAATTTGATATATAACAATATGCATCAAATATATGACATATAAAATATAACTACATATCAAATATATATTTTTATATTCATATATACATATAACCATATATATGTTATATATATCAAATGTGGCAAATATAATGATTTTCGTTATATCAGTATTTTTACTGTCTTGTCCTTTCTGTTTCTGTGAAACAAGTTTGATATGATTACAGTTTCTAGCATTCATTAGAATACATAACTTAAAAACTGTGCCCATCTGCCTTCTAAAATCATCTCATGCACATTCATCAGTTGTCTTCTACTGCTCTAGTTCATTTTGAAACAGCAAATTCACAACGAAGATTCCAAGTCCAAAATGCGTATCCACTCAATAAACTACTAAGAAGTCAAAAAAACAAAAAAATACCAATCCCTGAGCAGCAGGAAGCCTGAGGATTGGCACCTATTTTACAACTAATCACCAAGATAAAGCAACCCTCCAAAACAATCAAAAAGCTTCACATAAAGAAACATCTCAATTGTCGCTGCGAGTAATTTTTAAATTGTGAGTCCTGCACAAAGGTCTAAGTAGACAAGGACCCCTGGGGAAGGCTGGGAGAAGACCCAGAAGGCAAGAGGGCTCCCAGGCCTGACCCACTGCACCCTGAGCAGCTCCACCTTCTGCTTCCTGTTTGGGCCCAAACATAATTCTCCTCAACACAGATTCTGATGCTACCTGAAACCATAAGCAGAGGAGATTTCATTCTGCTTTCTTACTGCAGAGTTCAAAACTTAAATACAAACAGAATTCCTGTGAAATACGTTACAAGAAACTGCTGATCACAGTTGAACCTTGAAAGGGGAATAAGCTACAGTTCCTGTCAGTGAGCATTGGATATACTTGGAAAATAGCTCTCCAAGAAAATCAGAATGACATAGGAAGGAGGGCACCTTACCTCATGTGCACAAGCAGAAATGTGAGGAAAATCAGATGCCAACGCTTTATTCTTTCTAAAGAAAAGGAAACCAAATGATAAAATAAAGATGACAAAGAAGGCAATCTTACCTGATTTCACTCTCTTTTCCCAGCTGATGGTAACCAGAAACTACGGAGAGGGAGAGAATAACAGGAAAGAAACCAGTAAAAGATGTGATTGGAAAATTACAGAGGGGAGGAGAAGATAAAAGGCACTGGAAGAATAAAGAGAAGACAAAGAAGGAAATAGCGAAAAGATGAGACTGGAGGAGAAAAGGGGACAGATATTAGTGTACGTGAACTTTTTTGTGTAGAAAATAACTCTTCAAAGGAAAAAGCCTCACAAGCAAATGTGAAAGATTGGGCAGGCTGGAAATAAACTCCAGATCACAGTGTGACACCCACGCATTTTCAGCTGTGCAGTGACAGCAGGATCCTCACTCGACGAGGGCGTGAACCACACACACAACCTGCCTATTTTGTGTACTGTAATTAGACCAAGCTGGACGTGTACAGGACGGTAACTGGGCACTGGCCATGATGCACACGGGGTACAGGTTTAAAAGCCACCAAGTCAGAGGAGAGGCTGTCCTGAAAAGGGCAGAAAGACGCACCTGAAGCTGCATGCAGACTTCCTGTTCCACCTGCCACCATAATGAGGATAAAAAGATGTTTCTCTACAAGAAGGTCTAAAAATGGGAAGAGCATATAGCAGAACAAAGGCAATCACCTATCTTGAACAAGAAAAGGTTTAAGAGACAGAAAAATCAGTTTAAAATACAACATACTTACTGGAAACTACTAATGCAGCAGCTAAAGATATAAGAAACAAAAAAAAAGAAAAGAAAAAGACTAAAAAGGAAAAGAAAATCACTGCCACGGGAATAGGATGTTGCCTATGTTAACTGTGAAAAAGTACAACTCTTCAAGATCTGCTCTTTAGGCCCTGAAGCCTGATTTCTGGGTTCATAAAACTCCCCTCTGCCTCTTCCTCCAAGAGCAAGCAGGCCAACCAGTAAAAATATCAGCACTTACTCCTTCTGCCGAGGATCACTCAGGATATGGCTCATCCTCTCAGTACCCAAAGTACTGATGCTGGCCTCCTAAAAAGACAAGGAAGACAAGAGTATCATCCATCCACAGAAACAAATACATAAAGCACAATCCGTCATCAAGCTCGGACTTCCCCACACCTGTGCCAGCCAAGGTCACCTCAAAGGCACACATCAAATATCAACCTTAAAATCCAACAGCAACTATATTTCTTTTTATTGAAATCTACCTTACAAGTTTTACATGTTATCCTATACTTATTTTTTCTCGAGTAATCCAAAAGTCATTATAAACATTGTTTACCATATGAGGTATTTTAATATAGTAATATACTTTCTGGAGTTATTAAAGTATAAAGGAATAAAAACCCTTCTTTAGAATACCCAACAACAGCCAACTTTTAACAGGCAGCACACCAAGCTTCCCACAGCTATGTGTTTTTGGCTCAAATAGCCTTCATCCTGGGACACTTATTAAGTCCTCACTGGTAAAACCTAAATATCTGCCGACTCAATATATACATTCGCATCAAAAGACTTTTGTAACTTACAAAAATTGTCACCCTGTACTCTGTCTCCCCCACATCATTTATTGAAATAAAAATAGAAGTCTGTATAAAACTCACCCTTAAACTCAGGGTTCTCAAGATTATAGTGTAAAAATTTACACAAAAACCACAAACAATTCAGAAACTAACCATCCCCCAAAATTGGCAGATGGCAGAAGGCACTGCCCCTTCACTTAGCTTGAGTATGTGTACAAGGTGTATCTCCCACAGTGCCCAGGAAAGCACACCAACACGTACATGAACAAGAGTTACACAGAGAGGGTCAGCATTAAGACAAGAGGACACAAGTCATGGGCGTGAATGTCAAGAATGCCAAGGCTGCTTCTCAGACGCATTTGGACAAATGTCACTACTTGTACTTACCAATGTGTGTGGACTGTCCTAAACGTTAGGCTACACAGTTCAGCAGAACAATTGGTTATAGGAAAATTAATCTGAGGTCAGACTCTGGGATGGACAGGAGCTATATGAAAGGCTTCACATACTGTCTTCACATTCCACATCCCTTGCAGCTGCACCTCCCAGTTACAGACACAGACATGGTGGGGGGGAGCAGGGGGAAAAGATGGGTGAAAAATGAGCTATTTGCTACAGCAGAAAAATTATTAACTTAAAGTGCCGCAATGTTTAAATTTACAGTTTATTACTGTGTAAATTACAAGCAGTACTTTGTGTAATTAGCAGCTCGCTGGCAGGGAGCTGTGAATGAAACTCATTATTTATGATTACAATTTAGAAAAAGAGAAGGGAGATGGGGGAGGGGGAGGCGGGGGGGCAGAGCAGTGACCTCTGCTAGAAATGATAAATATCCCTTTAAGGTGATGAAGATGAATTAAACAAGCAAATATTATCCTATTCATTTGAACTCATTAGAGGCACGTCCAATAGGCCCTGGTTCCCTTCTAGGCAAGCTAAAGGGAGCCTTCAAGATGAACCAACTTACTTCTATAGAAGCAGAAGCCTCATTTTCTAAGATCTGAAAGAAAGTAAGGTTGGTGGCAGGGAGAGCATTATCTGTTGAGCATAACCAATACAGAGAAAAAGTCCAGCGATGACTCCAGCCCTACTCTCAGCCTCCTGCCCTCCACCCCATGTACTCCTCTCCTGCTAGCTGCCCTGTTACCAATAAGCTCCCAGAACACAAAAGCAACATTTGACAGTCTGTGAGATGAGCAATCTGAAAGGAACACAGTACAGTCTTCCAGTAATCAAATGTAATTCTAATTAGAAATTTGAATTAAAAGATAAAAAGAAACAAGAATCTGAGTTCATCTAGAAATAAACAGTCTCATTTATTTTGCATGAAAACTTCAGAAAACAGTTCTGTGATTAGACTATAAAAACAGCAGCCCCTTAAGGGCAGCCAGACTGTGGCTCTGACAACCTCAGCCCTGGCCTGGCAGAGCCTGCCACCTAGCTGGCCTTCTAAACAACCACGGAGTAAACAATCACATGAGCGCTCCAATGCCTGTCCCTTTCTTCCTCTTTGCACACCACATCTTCTCTGGTGATAAGCCTCCATCTTTCTCAACCTCCATGCTAGAGCAAAAAATAATACAAGTATAAAATACATGAACACTTAAAAAGATGAAAGTAGACCTGGGTTCAAATCTCTACTCTGCCCCTTCCACCTGGGTAGCACCGTAATTTCTGTATGTCACTTAACATCTTGAACCTAAGACTTTTCCATTTGCTAACGAGTAGTATCACTTTTTTTTAACAAGGGTGTTGGAGGATTAAATGAACTGAGTGCCTAGCACAGTTCCTGACAAAGGCAAAACTAAATAAACAGTAGCTAGTCCTCCTTCAAGGCCAGGGAGAGGCTCTTGAAACTTAATAACAGAGTTTTTTTTTTAATGAATTCTAGGATGAAAGGCCAAAGTTAGGATAGAACAAAAGATGTATTCACGAATTCAGGAGGAGTCATAAAGAAGCCAAGAGTATTTTAACTTTCGCAATAATAACATAAGGTTAATCAAAAGTTACAGAAGAGACAGAGATCAGGCCTATGGGTTTACACAACAGACACTGTAATGACAATGTTTGCATTGTCAGAACTTCTGTATGAACTAGGTTTCATTTTTTTATCTATGTATTCATTCATATCCTACATAATATTTACTCTGGTGAACTCCCAAAACATTCCAGTTGGAGTCATTAACACTGGAGAGTTCTGCAGCACTTCTGATTATTACAGGACACACAAGTTCCATAAGAAACTTCCCACTGAACCTAGTAAGCCATGACAGCCATCACCTTCCCAACCAGCCTTCTTCGTCCCTTTCTGAGGCATCGAGCTGCAGCTCCAGGCAGACGGTTCAAGCGAGCATGGTACCCTAAAAGAAGAAGAAAGGCCTCAGTATCTGAATGCAGAAAACCCACAAGAAATCATATGTTTCCAGTACACTGAAGGCCCTACTACAATCTTACTAGACTGACTTTTAAACTAGTATCACACGGCTATTTGCCAAGGATTTATCATTCTATCTTTGTCACTAGCAATATGATCACAGGCATGCTATTTCCCTTTGACCTAGGCATCCAATTCTACAAAAGTGGGATGGTCCCTTGTTCTGTCCTACCTTACAGGGCTGTTCTGAAGACCCAGTGAAATAGCATGTGGGAAGGACTTTATAAACTGAAAACGCTATGCAAATGTCAAGGTAGTATTAACAGTCTCTGATTTTAAATTAAATGTCAGTTACTATCTCAAAAACATGCTAAATTCATGAAATGATGTAGAAAACAGCATGTATGGCACACCCACATTCTACACATGGAAAGAACAACTAGAGGAATCCTCACCAAAATGCTATCAATGACATCACCTCTGTATGTGCGATTACGAGCCATTTTAAGTTTCTTCTTACTACTCTTGCTTATTTGTGCATATTTTAAGTGGTCCACAAAAAACTTTTAGAAATGTCTGAGGAAGCAATGTGCCTCAGCCAGGCAGTAGCCTTGACCAAGAGCCAACTGCTTTGAGAAGGCCTTTCAACCACCCAGATTCACCACAACAAGGTCCTACACAATAGGCATTTCCAGCTCTTAGTGTAATTCTCACCCCCAACCAATGTCCAACAGATACTTGATAACTGGCTAATTGGGTGATTATTGGATTCTGGGAGTCCTAGAATCATACATTTATGGAGCTCAAAGAAAGCTCTGAAACAGTTTTGTTCAGTGTCACACATCTTAAGAGATGACCCTGATATCCCAAGGGAATGAAAGTGACTCTGTCACACCTGTAGAGCAAGGTGGACAATATCAGAGAATAGTAGCGCCATTATTTCCTTCTTGTCCTAGGTTCTTTCCACCCACTTTGCTACCTCTTAACTGAAGGAAAACCAAAGAGAAAGGATTTGCACTTGTGTTGAAGTCCACAATAATAGGGTCACAAAAATAAATTACTTAGACAAATTATTTCAGAATCATCCACTCTAAACATGCCATTATACCTTGCATGTGAATGTTCTTACTGAAATCTATTCTCTTCCAAAATTCAATATTTCAGACTTCCATTGAGCACTAAACAACCTACCAGTTTCACATGAGGTTCAGCAGCTGCTCCCATAATCTGGTGCAATGGCAATGGCAATGGAAAGCGGCAGGAATGCCCTGCTAACATATGTCCCAAGAGTCTCCATGGACTAACTTAGGTAGGAATGGAGAATCTCAAGCTTTGAGACTCATCCTTGAATCTTCTAGAAAATCTTTGGACTAACTTCAGAACACAGAGAGTCAACGTGTGCTTAGAGGCATGAGTATGTTTGCTATGGGATGATTCTTCTGCCCAAAGAGAACCAATGTTCTTGGTCGTCTCGGAACTCACCTCTTTGAATTGGCCGAGATGGCAGAAGGAATGTGGAATCTGAAAACTTCTCCAGTCCAGAATCCATTCTTTCTACTTCAGAGCAATGATCAGGAGGCCACTTGGGCAGGAGATTGGGGACCGTGAATCCAGGGACACATTCTCCTTCATAGAACCAGTCACTCTGCTCATCATCCCCTAAAAGTAAGAGACCATGTCATAAGCTGGAATTTTAAACAAGTTCTGAGAAAAACCAAATAGGAGAATGTGTTCTTAGTGCTATCATTTTTATTATGCTTTTAAATAAATCAAAGTACAAAGAAGCTGTTCTGGTCCTTCTTGATTCACATTATGATGAAAACTGGAACATCAGCATAGTTTCATACAAATGTCATAATGTGTTAGACTGAACTGCTTTAATCACAAAAAAATAAGCACAGCAACCACTTACTAAGCCCTTACAACCTACCAAGATCCATGTTAAGAATCATAAACTTATAATCTCCTCCAACCTCTGTGCTAACTCCAACTTACAAATAGGGCAACTAACGCCCGGAGAAGTAAAGGTCATTTAGTAAATGATGAAGCCAGGATTTAAACCCAAAGCCTGACTAACTCAAAAGCCTGAGATCTTTACGACAAAAACAAAAACAAAACACAACAACAAAAAACTGCCTCCCCTACACTATCCTCAGTAGTATAAATAAACTTGGGGGTTCAAAGCTCATAAATTCAAAATTAGCTGTTCCTGAGAGATTTCTTCCTATAGCTGCATTCTCATAATCAGTGAATAAAGAATGTATGCCTGCCCATACTTCATTTTTTCCTTGGTATCTCATTAATAGGACAGAACATCATCCTGACACTAGCAAGCCAAGCTATTAAGAAAAAACTAACCATAGAAACAGATAATGTGATTCCCTAAGGTTTTTCAAGGAATTACACCATGTGTCCAAAGCCATATGATTCAGTTATAGCAAAATCCTAACTAAACCCATATGTCCAGACTCTTGCTTCAAACTTCTTTCTATTGGCTATGATGACAGTCCCTCAGTTTCCAAAAGTCTATTTCCGCCAACAAAGAATGAGATAGATAAGTTTATGTCTGCCACCCCAACCCCTTTTCAGAAAAGTAAGGATAAAGGAAATTATTACAAGAACATCTAAAGAGTTCATGACGCAATGCACTGGATATCAGAAGCTGCTCAGATCATGCCATCACATGAAGGATGAGATTCATGGGCTACTGACACCCAGGACAAGACCCTTAAATCACCGTGGAGATCTCCAAAAGAGGCAATGAAAGCTACATTCTGGTGAAAAGCAGCAGATATTACCACTAAAGAAGTCACTCAAAGGTTCCCTTTTAGAAACACACTATAAACAGCTGTGTCTCTACGACAGTAGTTCTGAGCCTTAGCATGAAGCAGAAGCACCAGGAAGGGTTGCTACAACATAGACTGCTGGGTCCCACCCCCAAAGTTTCTGATTGTGGTCTGAGCAGGACCAAAAATGCATATGTCTAACAAATACCCTAGTGATGCTAGGGTATTTGTTAGACATATGCATTTTGGTTTGAGGACATTTTGAGAACCACTAGTCTAAAAGCATCTCACCAAACTAGGTACATTGAAGAATTAAAGACAGGCATTCGTGTACAATGATTAGCTTCTCTGCACTTCAATGTATTAATTCTTTTCTTATCCACTGACATTCATCAGGCCATTTATTGAAATAATATCTTTAGTCAGATCATGTTTTCTGACGACAAATTGCAGACCACAATGGAAGTTTCTGGCTCACAAGCATTAACTCAAGATTTTTAATAACACAAGAAGGAACCCACTGCACTAGAAGGACCCTTGAGAGACCATCTAGACCAGTAGTCTTCAGCCTGGGTTCACCAGGATGCCTGACATAGGAGTTTATTAAAAGAGTGCTGCCAGGAAACAAGAAGAGGCTGAGTGCATCAGACTCCTAACCTCCGGCTCCTCTAGAACATTGCTTTAACCCAAACAGACTCGGTGGGTTTATCATTTGAGATTCTGTGTACAATTTGGGGGGAAGGCGAGAAAGGAGAGTCTTCTCCTTAACCGAGTTTCCCAAAACTATTTATTGGGAGTTCACTATACGCCAGCATGTGTTAGGCATCCAAATAATAAAATAATTCCTGCCTTGAAAAGCTTCAAAGGAAAAGACATACACCTACAAACAAGGACGTAACAAGTAAGTGGTTAAAAAAAAAAGGCAGTCAATACCAGGAGCCACAAGAGCACAGAGAAAGAGGAAGGGCAATCAGTCAGAAACCCTTTAAAAAACACAGGGCATATTTAAATAGGATCACTGAGGCGATTTCACAAAGTGACTGTTTACAAAGGGTGCAGATGGTATTAACAAGGAAACCAACAAGGATGGTGAGGCGCCTGGAGCCAGCACAGCAGGGAGTCTTTACCATCCCACACTGGGACAGCAATGGGAAGAATGGCAGCTATGGAAGAAAACTATCTTCCCACAGGAGCATGGCCTTTAGTCGAGGACCCATGGCCAGCCAGCACTCCAAAAGAAAGGGAACCAGGGAAAGCCAAGGTCCAGCATGGAGACTGCATCACAGTTTCCAAGTCCCATCACCCCTCCAGAATGGATTCCACAGGCCTTCTCCTTCAAGCAGAGCACACGTCCTCACCCTGCCGACACTGGACCTAGCCATATGATTTGCTTTAGGTAGCAGAACGTCAGCAGATATGATTCAAGCAAAGGCTTTAAATAAGCACACATGGCCTGGCTTGGTCATTCGGCATTTATGTCCTCTACTAAGGAAAGTCTATGTCGCACACAGCCATCATTCCTTTTGCAAAGGTCCCAAAATACAATATGCTGAGTAGATGCAAAGCTAACTTAAAGCCTGGAGACCAGCTGAACCTGGGCAAGGTCAGTGGAATCCCAGGCAACTCATAGCCCTGTAGCAAGAAACAAATGTAGTAAACTGTGGTAAGCCACTAAAATCTGGGGGCTGTTAAGTAGCACCATCACAATAAAAACTTGACATCAATCTCACTCACCTCCCTCTGACCTTCGGCTGAAGCCTCCTACTGGTCAAATCCAGCAAGAAACTGAGAGCGAGAAAACCCCCATAAAGTTCATAAATCTATGCCCTGGAGGGGCAAAGGGAGAACTGTCTTGGGAGGATGAGCAGGCACCCAAGGAATAAGAAGGAGAAGATTTCAGGCAGAGAGACCAGCATGAACAAAGGCAGGAAATAGCACAGTTCTGTGTTGAGAACTCTAAGCTTCTAAGTATCACCAGAATGTGTGAAGTTGAGACAGAGAAAGAGAGGAGTGCTGGGGCTACAGAATATTTTATGATCTTTCATGACAAACAAGGAATCTTTATCAGTGAAAAGGCTTTCCAAAGATCCCCAAAGTCTATCTGCTGCAATAGGTCCCCACTTTCTTGCAGCTCTATATAATCATGCATCATGGTTTTAGTAGGTGCACGGTGACACTTCCTAGCATCGCAGTAAAAGCAAAGGCCAAAAAGAGCAACTGTGGGTAACTCTGAACAGTATGTGCCAGCTCATTCACAGAGAGACAAGTGGACTTTCCCGGTACAAGATAATAAAACCAAGACTGTAGCTAGAGCCTGCCTATGCACACACAGTCTCTAAAGACACCTAATTCCCTTAGAATCGGAAGGAGACACGTGCTCACAACAACCCCCCCCCACCACAGAAGCTCAATAACTTCAGGGGGACAAACCTGTCTCTATACTACAGCTCGGAGGCATGGGTAAGATACCCTCCCCATAATCCCTCTTCCAAATCAACATTGGGATACTGAGTACCACTGTCCCAGGAAGATCAGGCGCTCAACCTACACATGCTACCTCTGTCCTTTAATTACTTAGCCCATGGAGGAAAATTATGGATTTCAGAGCTGGAAGAAACTTCAGAGATCCGAAGTAGTACGGCCCTACATAAGACTGGAGGAAAAGAATATTGTAAAATGCCCTTACACCAAGGCAAAGCTCTAAATGAGTGTTTAGGCAGTAAAAAGAAAGAAACATTAATAACACACTGGCCTCATTCATAGGGCACTATACTAAACTTGCGGAGCTGTAACTTGAGAAAGAAGAGATTTTATATAATCACCTAGAGCACTATAGTCATCTATAAATAATGTCATAAAAATGTCTAAATTCTCCTTCTGTGAAAAAAAGAATGTAACATCCCCAAAAAGAAAGTAATCCCTGAGGCTATTTCTTGGTTTCAACAAAAGGAATTTCCCAAAGCCTCAGGCTTGACACCTCGCCCCTCTGACCAATGACGCTCAATGTCTGCACTACCTCCACAAGAGTCACTGCAGGCGCTTGTGCAAAACGCAGGTTCCAGGTCCAATTCTAGACCAGCTTGATTTCCAGAAGCTCGGGAATCTGGGGTTCTAACAGTTCCCCAAGTGGCTCTCCTGTACCCCACAGTTTGAGAGCCACTGCCACAGACGACGGTTACGTTCTCGGCAGGTCCCCCCATGGCGGCCAGACTCTTCCCGCAAGCTCTGGCCCAACATCCCAAAGCTGGGATGCAGATTACCTTGCCGCCCTTCGTCATTGGTGAAAAGTCCAGCGTCGCTGCTGCTACACACACTGCTGGTTTCGCTGGAAAAAAAGAGCAAAACACAAGAGAACTCATCAGCTCCGGTCAAAAGAAAGCACGGTCCATTCCGCTGGTTTTCAAATGAAAAGATCCCAAGCTTCGCTCATTTTGCTACAGCCCACTAGCCAATCAGAGACGCAAATTTCATAGGGAAGCTATAAAGTTTATTTTCCCCAAATACAGAAGAAGAGAATTCTAAAATTTTTCTTATATTTTAAAATGCCTAAAGTCACTTTATTAGTTTAGAATTAGAAAGTTACTTATTAAGACTCACAGAAGAAATCTCAACTTGGTTTGGTATGTCAAATGACACAAATTTACAAACTCACCAATCAATTTTATTTTTAAATATTCCCCAACTATCAGTTTCAAGTAAAACTATCCAACTTCAACATTCAGTATCTCTCAAGCTTTTCCCTCATTTACAAAGCAGCAAAAATCCATGAACAGAAAAATAAAAGACAAATTATATTTTCTAAATTTATCTTTCTTCGTATCAAGCAGATTCACAAAACTCATTGTGAAAAAAGGAAACTAAAGTTAAAAATAAAAATACCTAAACAAATCAACTTGAACTCACTGAAATAAAACGTTTGCCTCATGGATTTCTGTCCCCTCAGCTTCATGTTCTGAGCTCTTGCTCACAACTGATGCTGCTTTTCTTCCAAATTTGATTTCTCTGGTTCAAGAAAAATTTCTCAGTCCTTTACAATATTAGCTAATATTCTAAGTAGTACTTTCCAAGCCAGTTAATTTTTCTTCTCACCTGCTCAGAAACCAAAGCAAGGAAGAAGCATTTTCACTCTGCTGTAGAAGAAAGCAGCTTGGCAAAACCCCAATCTACACTCCTGGATCAAAACTCTGGGAATATTTTGTATTTTGCAACATTTCCAAACATCTTGCCAACACAAAATCTAAAAATGCCAGTTAAGTTGCAATGCTTTCCTCACCTAAGCTTCTCTGTGAATAATAGAGGCAAGAGATCTGTTGCAGATAGTCAATAAAGCATACCCTATTTCTTTATACGTTCTCTCATTCTATTTTTACGTACTTATAACATTCTCAGGGGGTCATTGTAAGAAATGTCTCACAAAACTATACTGCTAGATTCTGATGGATTTAGCATCTTCAAAGAGCTCTGCCGTTAAATCAGAGAAGACATCCTCACCAAGTACGACATTCTTCCTAAGTTTAAGAAATTATGTCTGCTAAACTTAATAGTGTTGTTTTTGTATTTTTAGCAACTTCTGAAGAACATAGTGGTTTAACTAAACAAGTCTTACTACTCATGTCACGTCTTTATTATTCGCATCTTGCCTCAAGGATAAAGCAAATTGTATATATTTAAGCTTCTCCTGATACAAAGGGGAGATACAAAGCACATTAGGCCACAAGACAGGTTCTACCCCACCACCATGTTATGTGCTGTACTGGTCAGCAGAATCACTCCTGAGATTTAAGGGTCAGCAAGTAATGGCCTATCACCTGTTTTTATATGACACAGGAGCTAGAGATGGTTTTTACAGTTTTGAATCACTGGAGGGAAATGACAAAAGGTGGGTATTTTTTGACACAGGAAATATTAAATTCATACTTCAGTGTAGGTAAATAAAGTTTTTTTGGGACACAGCTGCACTCATTTATTTATGTATTTTCGATGGCTCCTTTTGTACTACAACTGCAAAGTTGAGTAGTTGCAACAGAAAACACAGAGCCCACAAGCCCTGAAATGAAACTTTGCAGAGAAAGTTTGCTGATCTCTGTTCCACAAGTATTACAAGGTGTACTCTGCAATGTTTACGGTCCCCTCTGTTTGAATATTTCCATTTAAAAAAGTAAAAGATGATTCATCACAAAGGCTATCAGTTCTTTTCCCCCATTCATTTCTGGCCACCTGTAAGCACTACAAGGTACAGTGCTTCCTCTGTCCTTTTTTGTATGAATTCCATTATCTCCTCATATTCTAAATGAAAGGGGCAAGTTCAAGTATATCTGCTAGATCTAGAAAGATGCTGGTGGCCTGTCATTGTACACTTCCTATTGCCAACATCATTTCAGGAGAATCAGTGTTCTTGGAAAAACTTTAACTTGTCTAAAGAAGTTTCCTACATATAGTTAACTGTATAACTATATAACTTATAGTTAACTATACAACATAGTTAACTACATAACTATATAACTTAATTAATTATATAACTATAGTTATATGTAGTTAGTGACAATGATGTCATGGAACTCTCACCAGGACTTTTTAAGACTATGATCAAGGGATATAGGTATTTTCTTCATTTAAAAAAAACTTATGTCTATAGAACCCTTGTTACATAAAAGGGTTAACATTCCATCTGTATCTGGAAATGAATGCATCATCTGATGGTATTTGCTAATTCTATTTATCCTCTCAGAATAACCTACATTGTTAAAATGCAATCACATGTAAAAAACTGTTAGCAAGGCCAGGCATGGTGGCTCATACCTATAATCCCACAACACTGGGGTGTTGTGGGAGGCTGAGGCAGGAGAATCACTTGAACCCAGGCATTTGAGACTGGCCCCAGCCCGGGTAACACAATGAGACCCTAGCTCTCTCAGCTACTCAGGAAGTTAAGGTAGGAGGACTACTTGAGTCCAGGAATTCAACACTGGCTTGGGCAACATAGGGCGAAACCAACTCTTCCAGCTAATCAGGAGGCCAAGGCCGGAGAATGCTTTGAGCCCAAGAGTTCAAGACTGCAGTAAGCTATGATCATACCACTGTACTGCAGACTGGGTGACAGAGCAAGAGCCCATCTCTTTAAAAAAACAAATTGTTAACAAATTTGCTGAAGAGGAAAGCAGTGGGTGCTTCAGGCCTGCACATAAACACTATGATACTGTTGTGCCAGCTACAAAGTAGAAGCAAAGGTTTCCCCTTCCAAGTTACAGGCCCAAGTTTTCCAGCCCTGCAGCACTCACTCACTTTGGCTCAGAGGTTATAATTTTTTTTAAAAAATCAGATCTGTTGGATTTTAATCATGATTCAGTCAACTATAAAATTTAATTTAGTAGTCTGTTAAAAACAAGTTCCTTTCAATAAATAAAATTTTCTTTTAGCATTTTTTTGTAGGTCACAAAATCTGAAAGATAAAAGATGTCAGGTTCAAATTTTTTTGTAACTTTTTTATTACAAGTCTTTTTATTAGGCAAGAGGGGAAAAGCTCTGTTCCTCATTTTTATTTTTAAAAAAAGAAAAAGAAACAAAATCTGTAATTTTACCTCTAGTATCTCCACCCATTCCACTTGTGGTCCTCTGAAGCTTAGACAGGAAGGCAGAATCCCAGCCTTTATTAATCTTCAGGTAAAATATCAAGACAAAGCTCACAAAGAGAACAGGTAATGAGATCTAGTCTCCTGAATTACAGCAGCTCCCAGAGGCCTCTGTGCCTCCTATCTCTGCCTCGGAAGTTGTTTTGTTCTTATAAGATTTACACAATTCTAGTCTAGAAGTAGTTTGTATACAAAAATCTTCCTAGGATATTTCTAAAATATTTTAGAAGAGTATAAATATATTAACCTTATAAATAACGTACACATCATTCAAAAAATCCAGTCCCAAATTGGGAGAAAACGAAGTCTCTAACAGGAAAAAAAGGAAAGAGAATATTGACACCCCTCCTCATTCTCCTAAATTTTCACTCATTCATTAGTAAACATTTGTCAGTATTCATCATATACCAGACACGGTGCTATAACTAGCACTAAAAATAACAAAGAAATAATATGCCAATCACAACTGACATGCACGCATTGTATACAGAACATTAGCCAAGGCTATGGGATAAGGGTATAAAGAGGTAGAGAGAAGAATGCTTCCCAATAAAGAATATTCTGCAGTTAATAAGGGGTGAGGCAACCCTGGAATTTAACCTTAGTGCACTGAGGAAAGTACTCCATTTTAGAGGCCAGAAAATGTCCACACTTCTCTACAAAACCTTTCACTAAAAAAAAAAATGTTCCCATACTTTATTCAGCAGCATAACCACCACTTTAAATAAGACAAAATTAAAGGCTGGATTTTGGACCAACTGTATTACCTAATTAATATAACATTGCTAGAAAAGCAACCAAGCCCCATTCAACCGAAACAAGAAAAGAGTAGAGTCAATTTACCTAGCAGTTCCGAAGGTTTTTCCTTCCATCATCTTATTATGAAAAATGTCAAATACATAAAAAGAGTTGAAAGAAGTTACAGTTCACACCTACACTCATCGGCAGAGTCTGCAAGTCACATTTTGCTTTCTCACACATCTATCTACCTAATCTTTCCACCAGAGCATCCTGTCATCAGAGGTACTCCAGGTAAGCCAGGTGATGGGCATGGCATCCACTTCAAGACAAGAGTATGATCACGGAACCAAGCCTCATAAGACCCTATGATACCGCTTGTTCACTGTTAGCTAAACGCTGTAGACTTTGGTATCAACTTGAAAATGCTTTCATCTCAATTGTTCCTCTTTCCAAGTTCTGAAAATGAACTGTTTGCTTTTTTGAAGAGAAATGAAAGGGGAATTGTTTTCAAATCAGCAAAAACCCTCAGTTTTAAAACGACAGTATTTCTATGCTATAGAAGAGATCAATATTTTGGTTTTATTAAGTACTCTAAGTTTGAAACTCATACTTATTGGAAAAAGTAGAGTCAGTGAAGTAAAAACCCAATCCTAGTACCAGAAATATCTAGAACTAAGATTCTCAACTGGAGGCAATTTTGCACCCCCATCCCTGGCGTCATCTGGCATTATTTGGATGCATGTTTGGTAGTCATGACTTGAAGCAGGTTGGAGGAGTTGGTGACCTACTGGCATTCAGTGGGCAGAAGTCAGGGAGGTTACTGAACACCCAACAATGTACAGGACAGTCCTACACAAAGAATTAACTGGCCCAAAATGCAAGCAGTGCCTAAGTTGAGAACACTGATCTAGAGTGATGACCAGAGCAAGAAGCTGGAAGGAGGCAGGGCATCTCA